TCTAAAGTTTGTCTGACTTGACTAAACCTGCTTCGGCTCCCTCTGCATCTTCACGCAAACCATCCTTTTTGTGAAAGAGGAAAACCAGAAGTGTAATGTCACGGAAAACAAAGAGGGTAGTGTGCTTTAGAGGGTGGAGTGAGACGTTTCCTTCGGGTATTGCATCAAAGAGGATGTGGAAGATCTTGGTGCTTTCTCTTTATGGATGTCTGGATAAATGATTCCTGGGGCTGTCGCTTTGGTTTTTAAGATTCACGTCTGTGTGCAGGTTGTCGGGTGTAGTCTCATGAGAGACAGAGACCTAACTCTGCTTAAGGCCACGAGCGAGCTGTAATTCAGCTTATTACCACAAGAGGGCACCAAAGACCACAACCTAGGGCTTAACGCCGTTCCAAGGTTCAGTGAGTTTCAATGTCTCTGAACTCAGCCAAGAAGACTTTTCAGTGAGACTCATGAAGAGACAGACCTCCATGCCATTTTGCTTTTCCATATCCTGCCTCACAATGCTTCTTTTGAAATCCAAGCAGAGCGCTTCGGCAGTTGGCCGGTAGCTGTGCCCCAGGACGGTGGGATGTGGAAGCCTTAACTTGCTCCCGTGTGAGGAGACCTGGTAAGCCTTGCAGCAAAGTCTCTTTTGGCTTTGAGTCAAGGGACGCTTTATGCCGTGCGGTGATGTCGGTGACGCACATTTGGGGACAGACTCTTGCCCAGGTGCCTGGAGCCTTAATGCACACTCTGGAAGCCCAGGGTGTCACCCTTCTTCGCCCAAACCCTTCCCTGTCGTGCTTTCTTTGAAACCCCCAGTTCTTACCAAACTTTGTTTCCTGTCCTGCTTAACCATGGGACTTCAGTGGTTAATCTTCAATCAGATTTAAGATTCTACGCTATTCAAGGGCTTGCTTCTCAGAGTCATCCTTCCTCTCTGACACTTGTGACTTGAAAACAGCACACAGAACATATTAGCTGTTTGTCCATGAACTGGGTAACTAAGTGATGAAAGCGAATGGTCAACATGGGTGTTTCAAGAATCATGACAGGAGAGAATGGACTTCTTCTTCCTGAATATACCAAAGTCACCTCCAGAGGTCACCATGTGCATGGTCACTATATAGGGTCGGCCGCGGGAGCTAGAACCCACAGGGTGCTTTCCTGGACTCTGCCCTGCTCTCCTGTGGGTGGGTGGGTCTAACCATGCTTTGAGATTCTTTTGTCTTATTTCACAAACGTGGTGAGGTACAAAGAGCTCTGCTTGCACGTCGGAAGGTCTACGTTTGGGTGTCAGCTAGGACGTTGGAGCAAGTTGTTTTCCCAGCTTATGCCTTAGTTCCCCAGTCTGCTGGGGGAGGAGGGGCTCGGGGCCATCTCACCGTCCTAACAGGGTGTGTGAATTCCTGGGAGCCACACCGACGGTGCCCCACTTGCTTTATTTGTGAAATAGAAATCATAGCTGTAAATACTCATAGGGCTTTTTTTTCCTTAAATTAAGATGAAATTTACATAACATGAAATCAGTCATTTAAAAATATACCGTACATTTGTAATGTTGTGGAACCACCACCTATATCAGGTTCCAAAACATTTTCATCACCCCCCCCACCCCCAAAAAACTCCATACCTGTTACACAATCACTCCCCATTGCCGCCTTCCCCCAGGCCTTGGCCACAACCAGTCTGTGTTCCCTCTCTGTGCGTTCGACTGTTCTGGATGTTTCCTATAAATGGAATCATACAGTATACGACATTCTGTGTCTGGCTTCTTTCACCTAGCACGGTGGTTTTGAGGCTCATTCACATTGTAGCATGGTGTTCATACCACAGTCCTTTCTATAACGGAATGATATTCTGTTATTTGGCTTTACTTTCTTGCCTCTGTGCACGCAGTTTCTTCTCTCATTAGTGGCTTTGTCCTGCTCTCTGCCTGTTGCATTGCTACTCACCCCTCAAGGCCCAGATCTGAGGTCACTTCCCCAATTCCCATGGCTCTCTGCTGAAGCACTAATCTTGTAGTTTTCTCACTCTACCCTAAAAATTCATGTGTAGATCCCCTTCTCCACCTGCTAGTGAAATCTGGGCTCCCGAGGAACAGGGACAGACCTTAGTCCATCTTTGGGTTCCTAACACCTAGCAGAATCTGACCAACAGTATCTACCCAACAGATAGCTGTTGAATTAGTGAATGAGTCGATTCTTCTCATGTGGGTCAAGTTTACACTTATTACACAGAAGGACCAGGCAGGAGCGTGGGAACAGTAGAGGGTAATGCAGTGTTAATATGATCCCAAACCTGGGTCCACATGGAAGTAGTGCATCTGAAAACTTGGTGGCCTTGGACAAGCAGAACCACAGTCTGTCCATCTGTTCGTCTGTGGATGGACATTTGGGCTGTTTCTGCCTTTTGGCTACTGTGAGGAATGCTGTTGCGAACATGATGCATGTGTATTTGTTTGAGTTTCTGTTGTCAATTCTGCTCCTAAGGTGTTTGTGAGGACGGGGCACGCGCTTACCACGTAGTGGGGGCACAATAAACATTGGCGATTGATGTTCTTAATTTTATCTTGAAGGTGTGTAAAAAGAGCCCCACATGGGTTCTTTCTCATGCTGCCTCTGACACACATGGGAGCCAGACCTCACTTCTCCCCATTACTGGTTTTTAGCCTATGTGTCTCTCCGTTCCCTGCCTGCCTACTGTTGCTGGTGTGGCAAACCAGGACGGGGAAGGCAGGGTGAAAAAGGCAGGGGACAAGTAGTGGAAATGAAGATGTGGAGGTGAGTGGCGGGGGACAACCAGTGGGCAGGTAGCGCTGAGCGAGGGGGAAGGAGCAGACCCTGAGGTGGGTTTAAGAATGAGCAGGGCAGGGGCGCCTGGGTGGCTCAGTCGGTTAAGCCACTGCCTTCGGCTCAGGTCATGATCCTGGAGTCCCGGGATCGAGTCCCGCGTCGGGCTCCCTGCTCAGCGGGGAGTCTGCTTCTCCCTCTGACCCTCCCCCCTCTCATGTGCTCTCTCTCTCTCTCATTCTCTCTCTCAAATAAATAAATAAAAATCTAAAAAAAAAAAAAAAAGAATGAGGAGGGCACACGATTGCTGATTGCTTCCGTTCCAGCTCCTGTGGTGAGAGGGCAGGTGGGGTGAGGCCAGAGCCAGTGCCACTAGCAGCCCAAGGTCAAGGCTAGGAAGTGCTTGTATTGGAGAGGGTTCTGACTGTGGCTGAAGCCTTCCATGGGGGTGGCGTTAGGGCTGGAAGCTGGGATCAAGCTCCAGGAGTTGTCAGCTTGACATCCGGTGACAAAATAGTAACGGGAAAACGCAGGTTTTAAGAAAGCTAATGCTGCCAGGAAGACAGGTGATTTTGGGCCATGGGTGAGATTGTTGGATGAGTTTGAACACTGTCTGTACAGGCCCGCTAGGAGCAGAGAGGGAGGTCTCCAAAAGTGTGGCGGGTGGCCATCTGGAATTCTGGTAAACCTGTGCAGTCGGTGCTGGAGGAAGCGAGGGAGAATCCACCCAGCTTTGGGCAGAGCAGTTTCTTCTTGATGTGGAATGAAGCAGCCAGGAGCTAACAGACAAAGGCCTCCTTCTTGCCCTGGTGTCCAAGAGAACTGAGGAGAATTACTCCCAGTTGCATTCATGTCATGGGAATCAGAAGGCAGATCAAGAAGGAAGGAATCTATAAGTCGGCTCTTAGGAGGTGCGGTAGGAAATGAGGCAGTTGAGCATTCCCATCCCTGACTTACCTATTCTGGTCTCAGGTTTCAGTCTGAGATTCCCTCTCTCTAAAGTTAAATAATGACATCTTTGTGGGGAGAACTCACAGCTTGTATTGGAGAGGAATAGCCTTAGAGAGCATGAATCTGAGGGTTGTTATCCCCGCTGAAAAGAATCTGCTCCTGGTGTGGCCCTCAGGAGAAGTGCCAGCACTTGGCCAGGGAGGGGGGGCCCTTGAGCCAAGGGTAGGTCCATTCCAACACCATCCTTTCTGCACTTCAAAGCTGTGTCTGCCTACCCCTCAACTGTCTTGCTCCTTCATTCACAACTCACATTAAGAAAAGTAATTTCTAGAATCCCTCATTTACTGGGTCAGTGAGCTCATAGGAGGATTAGTTGTTTTTGGAACAGGGAGGAAGTGTAAGATCGTTTAATCCAATCCTTTCACTTGACAGAGGAAGAGAAACCAGAGGCCCAGAGACTTACTCAGATGTCACTGGGAGTGGGTTGGAGTCTGGACTAGAACCTGGGTCTCCAGGCCCCCAGCCCAGAGTGTTTTCCACCGTCCTGCATGTTCTGAAAACCCAAGCTCACTGCAGGAGTTTGTATCTGGCTCAGGGACCTCTCAGGAGGGAGCTGCCCTTTACCCACCCTCTCCTATTTCTGAATATTTAAAACACAAAAGCCAAACTGTAGACAAAAAAAAGATATTATATCTATTTGTCAGGAGAGAGATAGTGTCTATTTACCATTTTCTGTCTTAAGAATCCAGGTATCAACGAACACTAACCTGTTAAAACCTGCTAGTTATGGGCAGGAATTATGAAGGCCCAGCGTGGAGAATCTCAGTCAAGACAGAAACAATAAAAATTAATGTTTAGACCAAAGAAGAGAATACTAAATGTGGTGTCAAAGGGAATATGTAGAGTGCTAAATACAAGAATAAAGCCTAGAAGGGTGGCTCAAAAAGGATAGTATAGCGAAGTGGGACTTTTCATTTTATGGCAGGAGGAGGGTTTTGGCAAGATGAAAGTGTATCTGGGAAAGGCTGTTTGTTTATAACTGTTGTCCAGGCTGGAGAAGTCAGATGTCCGCAGGACTAGATAAGTAAGCAAGAAATACGCCAGGCACATAGTTGGTCTAGCTAAAAGTTGGAAATTCTGGGAGGTTCGAGGCTTTTCCTGGGGAAGTGGATGAGAGTGTTTTCCTTCTGGGAAGAGGCTGCTGACCCCTTGGCTCAGCCAGAAGCAGGTGATGAGGCTCGAGCTCTGCTAAGGTGCTGTGAATTCTCCTCTTAGATGGCAGGGACAGCTCGCCACGATCGAGAGATGGCAATCCAGGCCAAGAAAAAGCTCACCACGGCCACCGACCCCATTGAAAGACTCCGACTGCAGTGCCTGGCCAGGGGCTCTGCAGGCATCAAAGGACTTGGCAGGTAAGATCCAGGCCAGGGGGTAGCAGGGGGACGAAGTAAAGAGGCAGAACACAGGCAGGTGAGGCTATTACCTGCTCTATGACCTTGAGCAAATCTTGGCCTCCTAGGGTCTCCGTTCCCTAGTTGTAAAATGCAGTTTGGAAGAAGTGATCTCTGAAGTCCCTTGTGACAATTTTTAGGTCTTCGTCGCAGATTCAGCAAGGCTGTGTCTGCGACAAGAAGAGTACAGCTACTGGGACAGCTGGAGGTGAAGGGAGAGGCATGCCCAGGTCCCGGAGACACCCAGCAGGACCTGGAGAGAGACACTCCCAGCAGCTGTGACAATAGCGGCGGGTGTGGAAGAGGGAGGAGGTTGTTCTCAGGCAGTCTGGTCTTGCTCACCTCTGGGGCGGCCATGGGAGAGAATCCCAGGGCAGTGAATATCCCCCCAGCTCGGTAAGGCCTGTCCTCGGACCCTCTGATAGTGTGAGAAGTCCTCAAGACCAGGAAATCTAAGGAGAAAGAGATTGTTAGCCTCCAGTGGTCAGATCCTGTGCCTTATCTCTCTCCCCTTTTTTTAAAGATTTTATTTATTTATTTATTCATTTATTTACTCGAGAGAGAGTCCAAGCGGTGGGCAGGGGGTGGGGGGAGAGTGGGGGAGGGAAAGGGACAAGCAGACTCTGCATTGAGTGCAGAGCCCAATGCAGGGCTCTATCATCCCACCGCCCTGAGATCATGACCGAGCCAAAATCAAGAGTCAGACACTTAACTAGCTTATCTAAATTCCCATTTCAACAGTGATACACCTAGCTTCCACTATCTGCCATCTGTTTACTTAATTGTTCAATTCCAGTATACCTTATAGCATATCAGAATTGTTAACTCAAATCTCCATGGGCAATCTCTTTATCAACTAGAGTTCAGTGCTTGTGTGTGGTTCCTTGTCCCTTAGTCCTACAGACTCTACTCATTTCCACAGGTGCTTAAGTCAGCATACCCCACCCCCACCTTCAGTGAGATTGTTTCAAACTTTTGTAATACAGTTAGGTTCTCTTGTCACTGTCTGCTTAAGTTAAATTCTCCGGACCTCCTAAATAATTTTCTGAAAATTTGTACACATTAAAATGGGTTTACTCTTTGTGCTATAAAGTTCTGTGGGCATTAGCAAGTGCATAGGGTCATGTATCCACCATTATAAAATCATACAGAATAGTTTAACTGCCCTAAAAATCCCCTGTGCTCTGCCTACTCTCTTCTCCCCTTCCCCTTGTCTTTTTACTGTCTCTATAACTTTGCCTTTTTCAGAATGTGATAGAATCACATAGTACGTCTTATTTTATGAGATGCTGGGAAGAGGCTCTCCAATTTTGGAAGGAGGGTAGAGAACAGAATCTAGGGCTTCTGTATTTTACTTTGAAAAACCTTGAGAGTGGTTTATTTTTAAATCTTTATCCTTACACCTTGTTCTCTGTTTTTTTTTTTTTTCTTTCTCTCTTTGTGTGTATGTGTGTATTTTCTTTAGAGTGTTTCGAATTATGGATGACAATAATAACCGAACCCTTGACTTCAAAGAATTTGTGAAAGGGCTAAATGATTATGCCGTGGTCATGGAAAAGGAAGAGGCAGAAGAGCTCTTCCGGAGGTTTGATAAAGATGGAAATGGAACAATAGACTTCAATGAATTTCTTCTTACATTAAGAGTAAGTGGCCTCATGAATCAGTGTATCTGCTGAGTTTGGCTTTCACATGGTTTGGGTTGGCTATTTTGAGGTTTTGTTTTCAGAAGTTGTCAGTGTACTGTAGAGGGGATGGGAAGGAGACTGATAACAGGTTTAGGGACTTTTTGGAGTAATTGTCATGAATGTTGTTTAACAAACATTTGTTAAAATGTTTGTTAACAAACAAACATGCAGACCATTTCACGCAACCCTGAGAGGAAGCAGCTATTTCATGATGTATGGTACAAAACAAGCTCATTTACTTGTGTTGTCTGTGTGTGTGTTGTTTTCTATTTACCTAGCCTCCAATGTCTAGAGCCAGAAAAGAGGTAATTATGCAAGCTTTTAGGAAGTTAGACAAGACTGGAGACGGAGTTATAACAATTGAAGATCTTCGTGAGGTATATAACGCAAAACACCACCCTAAGTATCAGAATGGAGAATGGACCGAGGAACAAGTATTCAGGAAATTTCTGGATAACTTTGATTCACCCTATGACAAAGACGGATTGGTAAGTACAGGAGCTTAAGTGGAATTTCTTTTGTCGAATTTGTAATTGTAATTAGGAAATAGATCCAAAGCCTTAAGAAATACGTATAACATATTCTTTATAAATAGAGGTAAAATATTTCCTCAGAGACTATCTAGAAAGTTGGGAGAGAAAGTGATAAGATATACGTGTGTGCAATATATTGGTAAGGGATCCACATACAGCTAAACACCCATCATCTGGAGAATGTGATATTTTGATTTAACACTCTATTTCATGGTTACCATACTTAGCCAGCCACATTCCAATGAACTAGACTACAACAAAGCCTATTGAACTTCAAAATGAAACTATCATTTAATTTTTTGGAATATGATTCACAAGGTGTTTCAGGAGGTGGCAGTGCTTTTCACACTCATCCTCACAACATTGTCATCACATTTTGCTATGTAGGAATGCCATTTAAGGGAGGCTTTCAGTGAAGGGAATGTCAGGGAACAGAATTTACTTTGATTTCCTCTATAGTGGGCTTTGAGATTAACTTGCATTTCGAAACTACAGTGAACTTAAGAACAAAAGCCACAACCCCACCTCCATTAACTGGTATCTTCAAGTTACAAATGCATAGCTTGGTGTAGGGTAAGGCATTGTATCTCTGCGACTGTGTCCAGGCTGAGATGGCTTTTATCAACAGCCGTGATTGGACTTTTGAACTTGGCCCCAGTTCAGCTGTTAAGTGTTTTGGAGGCTCTGATGATGGGGAAGGGAGTGTTCTCCTTGACTGACAGTCAGAGCAGCAGAACCCTGGGGACAGTTCTTTCTTACCCCCCTGTGTCACACAGGAAGGAGTAGTGGAGCACTGGGCAGGAGGAAAAGATGGCAATGATATGAATAGGAAACAAGGCTTCCCCTCCTGAAGGGAATTTCCCCCAACTTTTCTATGAAACTTCATGGTAAGTCTTATTAGCAAGGGGTTAGGGGACTAGGGAGGCAAACTTTATTTCCTTCCTGCTGACATTTTCCTGCTGGGGACGGAGAAATACCCTTCTTTTTAGTTGAGGTGATTACAGAGGTGGATTAAAAGAAGGGCGGGGGGGGGCTCTAGATTCTGTAGGGCAGCCTAATGCTTAGGGACAGAAATAACAGAACTGAACCATATGTTTTCTTCCAACATTGCTGGCCTTTGATCTCTGAAATGGCAGTGGAAAAATAGTCAACTGCCATTTCCCCCAAATTAGCCCACCTCTACATGCGATCCCAGGGTGTACTTGCCTTCTCTCTGCAGGTGGTTCCTTCTCCTCATTGCCAGGGGAAACCTCAGCTGCCCTTTGCTCTAACCCAAGTCAAAGTGGCCGGTTGTTATGATTCAGCTGATTTAAAGTTCCCACCCCTGTCCCTTTTGACATTTATTTTAACAAGCCATCTTAAGTTCTCAAATACTCATAAAGGTCACTGGGGTTTTTAGCAGTTATAGCATTTGATATCACCTGAATATCACAGACCCTGTATTAATACCCAGCTGACTGTGCATGATCATCATCTGGGGGTATGTTTTAATAATGTACCTTGCGGGGTGCACCCCGGAACTACAGAATCTGATTATTTTTAGGTGGAGATCAAGGATTTGCAATTTTAGTAAGTGCTCCAGATGACTGTTATTCACATTTATATTTGAGATCCTTGTCTCTAAAAGATTCAGAAGTGCCTCTTTCTAATTACTACATAAAATATGGACATGAACCTCGTTGGCATAATTATGGATCTGGATCATTTATTGACTGCTTATCTACTGGGTATTGTGCTAAGGGTTTTACAGGGAGATCTCACCGAAAGACATAATGAAAATGTTTCTGAAAAGTGATGTGTGATTCAGACTTTTGTACATTGAATCGTATTTCAAGTGTGCAAGGAACTGTTGGTGTAAAGAAACTCCATGGTAAATTCTTTTATAAACAGAATAATTAGTTCTTAACTTATCTTTTCCAAATTGAGTTGTTTTACACATTAAGATTTCTTACGGTGAAGCATAGCTACGTTTGAAGCCAGTGCACTCATTTATGGTTAAAAAATATAACTGATATCCAAGTAAGACAGGATTTAAAATAAGGCAAGAAATTTAGTAGACTCCTCAACTAAGTATTATACTCAAATTTGTGAACTTTTAGTAGTCTGGGCTAAGCTCTCAAGTAGTTGTGAAGGCTCCTGGGGTTTACAGTAGTCATGCATTTTGACATAATGGATCCTGTACTAATAATCCCCACATCCTACCCTCAGAGCACCCTGTGCACCAGAAACCATGTGGATGGAGGTATGAAAGCAACCAAATAATGTATGAAGTGAACCTTCTTCACTCTGATTCTTTTTTTTTTTTTTTAAAGATTCATCTATTTATTTGAGAGAGAGAGGGAGAGAGAGCGTGTGAGCAGGGGGAGGGGCACAGGCAGAGGGAGAGAGAGAATCTCAAGCAGACTCCCTGCTGAGCATGGAGCCCACGGTAGGGCTCAATCTCAGGATCCTGAGATCACAACCTGAGCCAAAATCAAGAGTCAGACGCTTAACCGACTGAACCCTCAGGCGCCATGCTCTCTCCTATTCTATCTCTAAACCCCACCCTAGCTGGGTGAAACTGTCACTTCTTATTTTTTTAGTATCTAGGTATGGAAGTTTTCACTTATATATGTTATTTTACAATTACAAATATTTTTAAAAAATCTCTCAGAAGTAGATTAGTCTTTGAGAGAATATGGGTCTTGTTGTCTAGTCTATCTCATATAAGATTTTTTTTAATAATTAAAATTAGGGCGCCTGGGTGGCTCAGTCGGTTAAGCGACTGCCTTCGGCTCAGGTCATGATCCTGGAGTCCCGGGATCGAGTCCCGCATCGGGCTCCCTGCTCGGCAGGGAGTCTGCTTCTCCCTCTGACCCTCCCCACTCTCATGCTCTCTCTCTATCATTCTCTCTCTCTCAAATAAATAAATAAAATCTTTAAAAAAATAATAATTAAAATTATTTTAAATATATTACTGAGTGTATATAAATAACCTAAACTTATCTTGTGATTTTTTTAAATCAGTCTTAAGCAGAGAAAAAAGTACTATATTCTGTATCATGACTCAAATATTTCCATTGCTCCCATGTGGGACCTTCTCCATTATATGATAAATATTCTATCACTAAGGGTAGCATAGTCAAGAGGCTGACCAAGGGCAGGGGTGTCCAGTTTCTTACTTTTTACTAATGTCCAACAAAATAATTAAGTAGTCATTATTACTGAAAAGTGATTTACTAGGATGAGGGCAAACTTGGGGAAATCATAGGATTTGTGATTCAGGCTATCCTCAGTATAAGTTGAGTCTCAGGAAACAAGCAGACACCTCACTAAGAATAACTGATGGCCTTTTCTGAAGTGATCAAATGTCTTAGCTCTGATGTCCAGTTTTATGTAACCTGACTCTCAGATGGGGTCTAATGCTAGATAAAGGGGGAATGCAAAGGAGGATGTAATAAGTAAAGAGATTGAAGAAAGGAGAACATTGATGGTATTCTAATTTTAGTAAAAGCTGTGCACATATTTACTTCTACTTCTAGGCCACTGAAAAGCCCAGCTTAACTATTAGTTCAGTCCAATGACTTCCTTCCTTCTGCATTTTACTATTTTGGGGTTGTGTGAGGGGTAGGTACAGGGAGAGAAATATGGATCCTGTGACTTTTTTTTCTCTCTTCACTTCTGATTGCAGCAAAAAAAGGTAAGTGAGTTAATCAGCTCCTATGATTCTTAGAAGATATAGGTGGGCACTCTGTGGAAGAGGGGTTTTGAATTGTTTCTGGGTTTCAGTTTTTGTGATGTTTTTAATCCCTTGCGACACTTAAAATTGAGGACTAACTAGAGAACAACCCGTTTCCTAGACATTCTTAAACAGCCATCATTATTGTCTCTGTGTCCTCCCATGTAAGCCAGGCTGTACTTTGGGCTAAACTGATTGGTTAGAGAGCTCAGCCAAACAGGAAGACAGTTCTTTCCCTGACTCACCTAGTCACGTCAGCCAGTATGGTTGAACTACAGTGTACATATTGCCTACACCTAGTCAGGAATAAGATTGATAACTATTGTTTCTTCTTTCTACAATGAAAGTAATATAAAATTCTAGCCTAGGTAAACACATTAATTGATATTCCAAAGAGACCGTTATAGGCACAGGAGGGAGAGAGCACCCACCCTGGGTGAGGCGGGGAGGCATGGAGCGGCGGGTGCCTTTTTTTTTTTTTACTCACTTTGTGCCTTGAAACCAGTAAGTTCTATCTTAAAAAAGCATGAAGCCGTGGAGTATTTCACTAGAAATCGATTTCTTTATCCACAGGACAGAATCCCACTTTCTGAAAGGTGAAACGTTATTTGCCCTGACCCAGAACCTGAGGCGCTATTTCTGACGTGTCACAGAAAGCCCGTACTAACTACCGCTAAAGAAACTTGTTTCTTATTCTGAGTTTCAGTCGCACTTATCCAAACAGATGGGCTCCTGCTCTTAAAGAAAGGCGAGAACCTGTATCTCACTTTCCATTTAGGTTGGTCTGGAAATTTTCGACTTTCTACACATCTTCCCCTCTGTACCCCTCACGGTCATCCTCAACTTGGCTGTTTCCTCTTGTCTGAGCTCTCTTCTTGATCTGTGTCACTAAAAAGCCTTGACCAAAGTTCCCCTCCCATTTACAGGTACTGGAGATGGGCCTCCACTGAAGTGGTGGGAAGCAAAGTTTTGTTTTTGTTTCTGACTTTTCCACTGCAGGTGACCCCCGAGGAGTTTATGAACTACTATGCAGGGGTGAGCGCGTCCATTGACACCGATGTGTATTTCATTGTCATGATGAGAACTGCCTGGAAGCTCTAAATGTAGGACCCCGGGACCGGGGCCTTGGGTAAAGCCACATGGCTCCAAATGGTTAAACATCAGCCCCAGACCAGAATCACATTTGATTTCATGTTCACCCCAGCGTTTCTTTCGTGTTGACACACTACATTTTCTAGGGCAGAAATGACAGTATGTACTTCACTTCTCTGAAGCTGTTTCCTTAGCTCTACTAGAGGAATTAAATAAAATAAGATTCAAAAAGCTACGAGAGCCTGGTCTGGGATGCATACACATGTCTAATAAACATAGGTGCCTTCCTTGGCCATGAATAAAAGTTTGACTACTTTAATTACAATCCCCACCCACACACCCACAGTCTTTCTCCACTTCCTTTATAGATGGTCCATTTCTAGGTGGGAGAATTCACCTGTTTTTATAACTGACTTTAAATCTTTAAGTGCTTCAGTTCCAAACTGGGGACTGGAAGAGAACCACACATTAGCCTCAATTTTTATACCTGAATCTTGAGTTTCTCTGCCAGTGGTTTAGGGAAGCCTCAGTTTGGTGAATAGATTTAGAATGACATTTTTGGGTCATCTAAAGTGTCTGTGGGAGGGGAGGCCATTTCCTTGAGCAGTAGGGCTGGGACCATCCGTGTGGTTAAAGTTTGAGGCTGTGCTGTGCTCTCAGATTTTATGTGGGACCTCTTGCCCTGTGAGTGGGCAGACCATATAAGCAAACCTGTGTCCAGCAGAATGTTCATCTTCCCCCTCCCCGCCATGGGCCTATAATGTTGATATTCCCACCAGTACAAGGGGGTGGGGCATGACATAGACAAGGAGAGCAGGCCTACCCCAAAGAGGGTTTTCCATCTTGACACTTCATGGCCCAAAGTGTTCTCTTTCCAGCTCTAAGCTTTGGCTTCATATTGTCAATGTGTGAGACTCTCCCCATGAAAGGCTTCCAAGCAAAGGCAGCCCCAGCTGCTAGCAAATAGATCTTGAAAACACCACTGTCCCTCTGTGTGTTCTGTGTCTGGGGCCAGAGGTAAAAGCACAGTGACCAGCCCTTTGGCTATGGTGTTGGAGATAATGACCACCTGCCTTGTTACTCAAGGACAGTCCTTTTTGTCACCTCTGTCCCTGGCTGCATTCATCCCCTGGTTCAGGACATGGATTGGGACAATAGTCCCCTTTAAGATCCCATGTATTGAAGTGGCTCTGGGCTTAGGGTCAATCAAACACGGTTGCTGTATTTTGTACCATTCACTTGTTTACTTTTTATCTCACCGAGGTGGAAGTGGAGATCAAGACACACATTGATTTAAAATTTGTGAAAGCAGGTGTTTCCAGATGAGAATCACAGCAGTTTGTTTGTTGTCAAGAAGCTAATCTCCCACTTACTCTGATGACAGGCTGGACAAGTGACCTTTTTCTTGAGGATGGGCGCATTCCCAAATTATGGGAAGCTGTTTTTTCAGAAATTAATTGCACAAGTCTGGCTTTCCCCTGGCTTTATTATTTAGGCTTATATAGAGATTGGCAGGCCAAAAGATGCCAAGTGTTAAGAAGAAGTATGTAGAAATGAGGTAGAAATCTAGAGGAGATTATGATGGAATGTACAGGAAAAAAATCCATGTTTTCTCTAACCTGCACCTTGCAGATTATGGCTAAGGAGAGGTCTCTGGTTTCCTAGCCATGATTTCAAGCTTACTGCTCTAGGTAGATTTGTGTCTTTGATTTTGGGAATGACTCATGCCTCTGCTTAACTGGGACCATAGAGTTTGCATGTGATTCTGAACAAGGACTAGGTTGTAGCTATCAGCTTCGTCTTCCCCAGTCGTACTCTTGCTTCCTGTCTAATTGGGGCACAGCTATCAGATTTTAGATAACCTGTATCTCAGAGTGTATTTGGCCACATTCAGTTGTCTCCCTTCTGGCAGGTCAGGTTCTGGGCCCACAAGTGAGGATTCCACCAAGGTCCTCTTGCCCCCCATAAATAAGATCTAACAACCTGATGGTTAAGGATCACTCCACTCCTATTCTGAGTCTTTTAGGCCAGTGATTTGTGGCCTAGTCAGGACTCACTCATTATTTAACTCTTACTCCTTCTGGTAGCAGTGGGAGAAACAAAGAGTCATTTAAGAAAAATCATTTGCTAACAACACTTTTCTGGATATATTTTCTGTTTATTTAACTTACACAATTTAAATATTACTCCATTTGCAATTTAAAAAGCAAATACCGAGGTCAGAAGATAAAACACAATAAAATATCCCCAACCCTGAGGAGCACCTTACTTGTGGGGTCTGGACCCCCGATAAGAAGTAACAAGCCAAAGAGAAGAGGATGTGAGCTTAGCAGCTTTTCATGAAACAGGACAGTGTATGTAAAAATTCGGAGAATCAGGATTGGCCAGAAGAAGCCATCAATATCAGTACTGAATCTGAGTTCTAACTCCCCCCAAAAGGCAAACCTAGGCAAGAATGGAGGCCTGACCTTAACCAACTTCTTTAAGGGCTGGTTCCCATCCTGCCTGAATTCCATTCAGAGTGCAAGTGAGTAATCCCAGAGCGTTGGTATTGTAGCCTGAGGCAGAATTCTTCCAGCCCATCGGCACGGCTAATTTTCCTAGACATTCAAACCTTGATAGGATTTTGTCCCAGACCCAAATGGCACTCTGGAGGATGATGCCTGGCTCTTTGTGGTTTGGTGGCAGCATGGAGCAACACTTCATACTAAGAGCAGCTTCAAAGCTAAGAGCAGCTTTTTAAAGTAGAGCTGGGTCCCCACCAAGTAGGCTGTAGATTGGCTTTGTCACATTACAGTTTTAGGTTGAATACATCCCGTTAGTAAATATTTATTGAGTCACTCCTATGTGCCCTGTTCTACCCTAGGCTGTGGGGATAGAGGAAGGGGCTAGGATAAATGCAAACCAAACCACTGGCTTTGAAACCAAACTAAAAGCCCCCAGTTAAGAGATCAGAGAGGAGGGGAAGCATAGGCACTGAAGCCAGGGTAGTTGGGGCCCTTTATATAGCAGTGTGCTGTAGGACCATGTAGTAAATTTAATGAATGTAGGCAATCTATCAAGACACTGCCAGGAAAATACCCCTCCATTCTTGGAGGCAGATCATCGTGTCAGCCCTTCACTTCTCTTGGCCGGTGTGGATTGCCTCACTGAGCCATGAGAGTACAAGTAGGTAATGATTCAACCCTCTTTAGGCAACCTACAGATGCAATTTGTTCTGCTGATGTTTAATCAAGTGGAGAGATGAAATTAACCAAATATGTATTCTTGACTGGTGTGTGGGTGCCCTTCTGCTCCTTCTTTATGAAATTCTACTAACACCCTCTGAATGGTATACCTTTTTGGATTTATGCACAGCACTCTGGGGCACAGAATGAAAACCCCCACAAATTCCAGTTTCTCAGATCAGTTAACAAACTTGCTTTCCTGGAAATTATAGGCTGTTCTTGTAAATTAAAAGCTTGTTGAAAGAAGCAGTGAAGTTTTAAATTTTAGAAATGCTTATGATTAAAGGAAAAACAAAGGTGCCAAAGGACCTGATAGGTTGTCATATAATGTTATCTTCATGTAATTGATCCTTTGGAAGCCAATGTTTCTAAGCGTAGTTCTACTCCAAGTTGCTGATGTGGAAGCTACGTAACTTTGATAGAGATAACTAGTTTTTTCCTTGTCATAAAAAAAAAAAAAACCTCACTAAATGAATCCCCAAAAATTATGTCTTGTAAAACAGATGACGGGTGAAATCTGTTGAAAGAAACATAAACAAATGATTGATGGGGGTTCTGAGAACACTGCTGTGTGAGAAGAGTTCTTTTGCCACCTCAGTTGGTGCGGTGAGAAGCTTGTGGTGAAGCAGTTCTTCCTCTCTGAGAATAGCATGACCTTCTTGTTTTATTTTCACACCTGCTTCGCCAAAGCCAGTATCTTCCCTCAGCAAAATAGAGTGAAAGGTGCTCTTTAGGAGTGAACCCACCGAAAATATGAGCCACGGACCAGTAACTGAGGTTTTGATAATGGACCTTGCAAGAACCAGAAAGGTATATCGTATCAGGGAAAGAAAAATCTCAAAATGTACTGGCCTATTTTCTTTTGTTCTAGATTTCTTCTTACTCTTCATAAATGGAACTTATTTGTTTATGATTTCCCTGGAGTATGATACAAATTCTAGTAGCCACTGAACACGGTTGACGCAATTTCTGTTTCACTGAAGTTCTTGTGAGCCCCATGAGTTTCCTGTTCCCACTCTTGCTCCCAACATGGAGACACGTGGCACGTGGCTCAGATGTTTCATTCTGCACGAGACCCCATAATAAATTTAAGAGGGACCCTGTAACTTAGAGCTCAAGCACCTGAAATTTCGAAGCAACATCTGAGTATGTAGTTTGTAATTCTGTCATGAAAGACGAGCAACTTTTTCTTTATAAGCCTTAGCACTTGGCACTCAGACACTGGTATTGATTCTGGGAACATCTTGATCTTAAACTTGAAAGGTTTGAGTTGCTGGTCTCCTAGAAACACTCAGGCCACATGCAGAACTGATGACTGTCAGTGCTCCGAGAGAGACTTAGAACAGAAAGGGAACCTGTAATTGAGAGAAAATGACAGATGGCAGAGTAGTTTGCTCTTTCTGGGGTTATAGTGAGCCTCCGAGTGCTTCCACCTTGATGGGATAAAGTGCAGCACAAACGCAGGGCATTACCAAATGCCAGGCATTACCTTCTGAAACCCAGATCATTCTTTTAGTTTCCAAGGGGACTGTGGAATAAACTCTGTTCCACAGATTTCATCCTTAGTCATGCCTAAAATCTCATTTAGCAATATCATTCCACATCCATTTATTTAAGATTATCTTTGAAGCTGCACAGTAAATACAGTAAATCACCATTAATTTAAGCTTCTCTAATTGAGCTCACTTAGATAGGGTTTGAGTGAAAATTTACTTCTGTTTCATCTATATTAAAAAGAATGCTTGTTAAGCAAGTCAGTATATAAAGATTATAAGAGCTGTGCCTGCCTATGTGCACATATGTTTTACAGGTACTTGGAGATACCTATTTGCACATAAATGTAATTAATATGCTAGTCATAAAAAGTTCCCACATATCTGAAAACGGCCCTAGATCAATTGTTCATTGGTAATACTTTATTTACCTAAGTGTGACATAAACTATTTACCAGATAGTGAGGAGTTCCTATATGTAAATCTTACCCAGATAGTATCTTT